CCGCATGGCTGCTGGTTTTCTGCTGTGTTTTTGAAATTAATTTTGTAAAAAATGCATAGCGCAGAGTTTGCTAGCACTAGGTCCCTCCATGCCGCGCAACCCATACCCAGGGCGAACTGCATCCTGAGATACTCAGACTCTGTCCATTAAACAGCGGCTCCGTTTGCTCTTCACCACATCCAGGCAACACCCATTCTTCTTTCTGTCTCTGAATCTGGTTCCTCCGGGCCGTCTTGGTAGAGCGATCTGTGCCATGTTGTAGCAGGTCTCTGAATGCCTTCTTTTTTCAGGCTAAATAAACAATGCGCAAGTTTGCCAGTGGACCACGATTGCAGATCCACGCATCCGCCTGTGGGCGCTTGAGCTGCCGCTGCCCTTTTGCTGTTGGGGGTTGGGCGTGTGGATGCACAGGTATTTCCCTGAGCTCTGGCTTCAGCCCTTTCACTTCTGTACTCAGAGCTGGGTCACACTGTGGCTCTGGGATGAATCCTCATGTCTTGGTGCCTCCGTGTGCTTTCCCTCAGACACTGTGTTTCCTTCTTTCCAGGCCACAAGGCTTGCAGTATCTCTAGATCCTTGCCAGAACTTGCTGTTGTCTAGTTTTAGAACTGTACTTGCCTCAGTGAGGCTCCGAGACGCAAGTCCCTGTGGCCAGTGACACTACATACCTTTCCTGTCCTCCTTAGGAAAATGATCATTTTATCATCAAATTCCTTCATTTCTGCATTGACTTGAAGTCTCCCGGCCACTCTCCCCCCCCCCACCCCCAGATGGGGATGTAGTTCAGTCTCTAGTACCGCGGAAGGGAAGGAAGGGAGATGGGGGAGAGAGCGCGCGTGAGAGCGAGCGAGCGAGCGAGCAGGGTATGTCGCTCAGTGGTACATACTTCAGCTCTCCCATCTGTGAGGACTGAGAGTGGAAATAGGTTCAGACCCAACTACCAACCAATCAGCAGGTCCGGGGACGTCAGGTCTGTGATAGAGCACCTGCTAGCATAGTTAAAGCTCTGGATTCAGTCCCCACTACTGCAAGGAAAATTAAAAAGGTAACAGGTAATCACAAAAGGAAAAGGACAGGAGGCTAGCTGGACGTGGTGGCACATGCCTATAATCCCAGCACTCAGGAGACTGAGGCAGGAGAATCACTATGAGTTCAAGGCCACCCTGAATTACAGAGCAAGACCCTATCTCAAAAGTAAATAAACAAGTATTTTTTTTCAAAAAGAATAGAAGTCAAAAAGTTCCCACCACAGCAGAGCAAATCTATCATTTTAATATATCAATGGCGTTTATGGACTCGTTTGAACTGATGGTCACCACATGCCAGAATAATAAATGCTCAGTTATTAAAAATAGGTCGCTAGGTCAGCTGCAGCATCGTCTACCTCTATTTCATCTACCACAGGGTAAAAGCAGAATAAATTTATAGTCTGTATTGACCTATGATATGATCAGAATACATTACACACATTGATGCCCTCCAGAATGTGAAGGGAGAGGGGAAGGTGAAATAAGGAAGGGAACATGGAGGAGCGATTGAGGTGCGCACTGGGCAGCCCTCTTGGGTCCCCTGCTGTCCCTTTCTTGAACAGAAGCTTTCTTTCCCTCAATAAATATATTCTGCTCTTAAAAAAATTAAAAAAAAAAAGATAACGTGTTCATGTACAATTCTGCCAAAATGAAACTCATTAGTCCGCAGAATCAGTATGCACTAATAACAGTGTGGTGGTGGAGAAAAGGCAGTAACATCTTAGTTTTCAGATGCTTCTGTTCTCAGACAGAAGCATTTGACAAAATTTTACTCCATTCCCAAACCCTGCACAATGACCAACGTGGCTGAGTGACATCTTTGTGCATGAGTGTAGACACGGTCACCTTCCCCAAAATCATGGAACAAATCAAGTTTGTAAGTTGAGGCATCACTGTAAATACAAAAAATGGACTTGTATTCTTTATGATAAATGTTTTATGTTTTTCTGTTTTAAAATGTTCCGTTTTCAGTGCAGGGGATTGAACCCACTGTCTTGTATGTGCTGTAGGCAAGTGCTGTGTCACAGAATTACGCCTTCGGCCCCTCCTTTTCGGACCATTTTCTAAGACAGTGCCATGGACAGTGAATTTTGGGGAGAACTAAAGAACTAGATAGGGAAAAGGCAATTGGAATGATTCCTTACTGTGCATGTCCAAGAAAGAGAGGTCAAGCACGTTTTAGCTGATAGAGAAGTTAAGGTAACTAGGGCTCACTTGCCCCCTTCCTATAAAGTAATTTAGTCCTCTTGTTTGTGAACCTTCATAGATCTGCGCAGCTCCTTCCTCTCAGCTACAAGACACATCCTTCACCCATTTCCAGCAGGCCTCTCACATTTCACCTCTCAGTCCTCAAGGAGTCTGCGGCCCCTGTGTTTGAAAAGCTGTGGCTAAAACGCCGTTTCGCTGGAAGCGCATCGTGCAGCTCAGTCCTTTGCTTTGTCTGCCTGACACCACCACCAAAGGCCAGGCGTGCTCCTTCAGACTTTCAAAGAGACCAGCCACCTCTTGGACTCGTGTGCACAGTTCTTGGCCGCGGTCCTTAAGTCCATGGGCTCTGGTGTGTGCTGCTGGGCTGTGCGAGGGGGGCCCTGCCCACTGCTCTAGCCGCGTCTCCTCCACTCCAGCCCAGGCGCCTGCGCAGTTCGTGGCGGATGAGCACTGTGGGTACAGCTGCCATGGAAGGAATGCAGAGGAGACCCATTTATGCAGTACTTCGTGTGTGTGTGTGTACGTGTGTGTGTGTGCATGCACACATTTCATTTCATTTTTCTTTGTGGGGGTCGGGATTAAACTTAGAATGCAAGGCAAGTGCTCTGCCCCTGCGTTCCATCCTCAGCACCCCCACATCCACTCGTGTTTCCAGAAAGATTTACCTTGGAACCAAAGCATCTAGAGTGAAGAGGGACAGGTAGCCCTCACAGGGCATTAGAACAGACAGCCCGAAGCCTCTGAGGGGTGTTCTTTTCTGGTTGCAAACAGTGCTTCATGCCACTGCTGCAGTCCTGGCTGATGGGGAGGCTGAGACAGGAAGAACGCAACTGCAGGCCACGCCCAGGCAATGTAGTGAGACCCTGTCTTAAAAACTACAACAGTAGGAACAAAGCCACCAAGGAAAAAGGGCTAGGGGTGTAGCTCAGTGTGAGGACCCTGGGGCCCATCCCTAGCAAGCACACGGGCACACGCACGCACACTGCCATGTAGTTGGTGGCTTTTCACCTCCCTTAAGAAGGAAGGGAAGCTGACGGCCTGGATGCTGCAGAGATGGCAGAAAGAGTTGCATGCGTCTCTTCTCCCCACCCCAGGTTCTGAGCCCACCTGGCCATCAGCTGCGTGTCACTGCGGTCCCCTGCTGTCCTCTCTCCCTCACTGAAGTGAGGCCCGCAGCACCTGTCCAGGATCTCAGAGCAGCTTCCTGCTGGGCAGCCTGACCTCCAGGCACTGGGGCTGTCTGTTCACAGCTGGGGAGGAAACCTTCCAGAAGCGCAGTTTCATTTTCCTGTTTAACTTGGATTCGGGGGTGTTTGCCTTGTCTGCAGGGTAAAGGCCGCACCCTTTCCATGCTGTGTGGGCTATTCATGTGAGCTGGTTACTCGCCCAGTCTCCCTCCCGCCTGCCCCAAGACCTGCCCGTCCCTGGCCCCTGTGGCATCCTGTCCATGCTGAGCAGTGCCCTCCCATATGCCCACCCCGGCCTCCCACACAGTGTGCCCTGTGGCACAGAGGCCTGGCATGGGACAGTTGTCCACTTGTCTGTCCTGCTCTTGAACCTGGCCTCTGAGGGCAATGACTTTTATCTGTGTATTTCAGCTGTTAGCCCAGTGCCTTTCCCACATAGGTCTTAGTGGAAAGGAAGAGGGAAAAGGAAAAGGAAAGGTTGTCAGATTTCAGAGTTCTGGTTCTCTGCTGTAGGTGCTTCTGACTGCCCCGTTCTCCCGTCCAGAGCAGCTGGGGCGAGGGTGACACCCACTCAGGTGGCCTTTACTTCATTCTTTGGCCACCCAGAGACCAAGTGACCCTGGCCCACCTTCCCGTAAACGCTTCCCAGCACAGTGATGACTCATATGCGTGTGACTCGGAGCGAAGCAGCACAGCTGGCGAGGCACCAGGGGACGCGGTCACAGCGGCCGTCCTCCCATCTCCCATCGGCCTGCAGCTGGCTGCGGGAGCCGGGGCTGCGTTATCGTCTGCCCATGGGGAAGAGGCCCCAGCGGCAGGCTGTTCCGAGGCTTCAGTCTCTGGGGTTCTAGTGTGTCGTCGTCTATGTGGTAAGCCCATTTGTTAGAGGCTCCTTGTAAGCTACAAGTACTGTGGTGAACAGCGAAGTACAAATTATGTCGTATAATCTTACAGTATTCCAACAGAAAAAGCAACGGTGGATACACACGTGACACATACTGTGTGCTGGGCCCTGTTCTAAACACCTTCCACCTGTGAATGAATTTCTCACAGTAACCCTATGCATATGGGGTCTGTGGGTCTCCCTTTGCCGATGAGGAAACTGCAGCATAGAGAGGTTATCCGCAGAAAATCCTCAGGGCCACACAGAAAGTAAAGGATAGACTTGTACGAACTCAGGCACCAGCTTCCGATTCCACACTTCTCCGCTGTGCCCCTTCAGTGAAGCCTGGCTGTGGTCCTGTGCCCCGGGCCTGGAGGTAGAGGTGCAGCGAGCTCCTTGTGCGTGCACAGTCACACACAGCAGCATAGCAGGCCCGGTGGCGAGCTGGTGGCTCCAGTCCACAGCTCCTGACTTGGGCTTTTCTGTGCCCACCCCACGAGCTGTACGGCCATTGGAACAGGCAGCAGGTGCAGCCTCCCTGTTGGTGCTTCCCAAGGGCCAACTCCAGAGGTTGGCTGGGATGTTCAGGGAGAAACTTCTCAGTCCAGGGCTAGAGCAGGCGGGTGGTGTTGGGTGGCACATTCTGCTTCCCGCTTTTCCCTGAGGGGTCTCACAGGTCTTCTCGCCCCACAGACAGTGAGATGGTGTACTACCACTATGGCCCGAAAGACCTGGTCACAATCTTGTTCTACGTCTTCATCACCATCATCTTGCACGCTGTGGTTCAGGAGTACATTTTAGATGTAAGTGACAAACCTAGAAGGGGTGAGATGTCTCGGGGTGGAGGGCCTGGCCTGGGGGAACCACCGCTGCCTCCTTGGGCCCCTAATTAGCACGCCTAGGGGCTCTGTTACTGGGCTTCCCTCTGCCCCTTTCCACAGCTTTCTTTAATCAGCACAGGGAAGGCAGCCGGAAGAATGGCAGGACGGTGTCCTTAGGGATCTGCCCTCCACAGCATGCTCGGGGTGTTTTCTTGTGTGTATGCTAAGATGTTAATCTTGCCCCATCTCTAAATGCTTGCCTTAAAAAGGCCTACAGTCCCTAACTTGGGTTCTAGCTAGTTTCAGAGTCCTGACAGTGCTCACCCGGTGTGGAGAGGAGGAGCTAGAAATCTGCCCGATGTGGACACATTCGTACATTAATGTGTTGGGTTTTCTTTATTCGTTAGAAAATCAGCAAACGACTTCATCTCTCCAAGGTCAAACACAGCAAGTTCAATGAATCCGGGCAGCTGGCCGTTTTTCATCTCAGCTCAGTGACGTGGTGCTTCTATGTGGTGGTGACGGTGAGTGACCCTCAGGCCTGTGGGAGAGTGGGCAGCTGAAGGTGGGAGGGCTGCTCGGGGCCAGCAAGGAAGAGCAGGCACGCTTCCCAGAGCTGAAGCCACTGTGGCTGCCTCGGCTCTGCAGTGACAGACAGCATGAATGGGTGCTATTCCCCAAGGAGAAAGCCACCGCCCCGGAGTGAGCACCCGCGCATCTGGCATGGCTGTAGCATAGTAGCGTGTGTGCCTAAGGCTGTCTTACTTGCCCGTCTGCACATGCTGTCCTAGGGGGTAAATGTGTCCGTTCCAGGACCTCCGTTGTTAGATCAGAGAACCCCATGCTCAGACCTTGCAGCGTGTCCCACAGCCACGTGCTTTGGAAGTGGCAAGGATGGCATGGACTCGGGGGTTCAGCCCCAGGCTGAGCACACCTTCTGCTTTCAGGCCTTGGCCTGCCCTACACAAGGCCAGCATTACCCTGTCCACACCTCGTCAGGTCCTGTGGAGGCCAAGGCCGTGGCATTCCCACGCGTGCCTGCAGGACCACAAGATTGATGCACTCTGCCTTGCTGCAGGAGGACTTGTGTTTCCAGCCACCGCTGAGGTAGCAGAATTCCTTTGTACAAAGGAGTATGGACAGTCCTCTGGGGTTGGCTGGAACAAGACCCTACCTGTCACAGTAGGAAGTGTCTCATTCCCCCCACCCTCAGCTGGAGCCTCTTCCGTCTGCATCTGGTCCCTGGAGAAATCCAGGCCTGGGGCTTGGAAAGGTCAGTGACCCTCTGGCCTTGGAGACCTCCTTCCGGCCTCTGTAGACCCTTCACTTTCCTTCTCTGCCTTTATGCCAGTGACAAGCTCACATGTCACAAGGCAGTCTCGTTTCCAGAGCCGAACATGGAGTTCATACTTTCAGAGCAGGAACCAACATGTCCTTTTGTGTGTTGCTTTTATGCCTTATGTCATTTCATTGCAGAACAGTTTTTCTAAGCAATATGCTAGGAGTTTTAAATTTGAGAGCTCGATTTCTTTCCTCCCAAGCTGCGTACCTTGGCGATTGTACTGGGGTGCAGCTTTCTGGGCTGCAGGCTTCCTCGGACTCCACCTCAGGCCTGGGCTGCCTCGAGGCACAGAGTCCTTGAGCCGATGTTTCTGAGAAGCATTGCCACATCTCTGAATCACCTTTTTCTGTCACTTGCGCTCCTGGACGTTCCCCCGCAGTGACACCGAGGCCAGACTGGGCGGCCAAGCCAGCCAGCCTATGGATGCGCCCTCCAGCACTGCTGCCAATTGCTGTTTGCGCTGTCAGTCCCATGAGGACTTGGAATCCTGATGAAAATGAGGTGGGGAGCACGGAGGTGCCGCTCTTCTGCCTTGATGAGAGCAGCTCCTCCTGGCAGGCTCAGCAGGACTTGAGGCCCGGGCCTTGCAGGATCCAGTGACCCTGGTCATCACCGGGGAGGAGAGTGAAGAGCAAGCGAAGGTGGTTTGTAGAAGTGATTAGAAGACAACAGGAAGAGGAACCCCAGCTGAGTGTTCACAGCAGTGTCCTGTTAGCAGGCGGATTTCCCTGGGTTCATGTCCCATCACTCCTAACTGAGCTGCTCCCGGGGTCCTGCCGGCCCGGCCTTGAGACAGCTCTGGGATGCTGTCCTTGCCTAGCTGCGTCCTCAGGTGGGGAGCCTATCCCCTTGGGGTGTTGCTCGCTGCACATCCTGGACGGAGGCCAGCAATGCTGCGGACCACAGGACAGCCCCAGGACAGCCACCCGCCCCACACGTGGCAGTTGTGAAGCCCGGGCCCTCATCTCTGCCTTCCTGCAGGGTGCTGCTCCACTCCCACCCCTCCCTTCACAGGGGGTGTGTGAAGGGAGGGGTGGGAGTGGAGCAGCACCCTGCAGGAAGATGCTTGGCCAGATGGGTCCTCTTAAATCAAATTGTGCCTTTTCTCTCCCCCCGCCCAGCTGCCGCGAAGTTAGTTTTCCTTCCTTGCTCATGTGACCCGGGACCTGCCAGCCTTGGTGGTCTCGGCTGAGTGGACACAGCCGTGGTCTTTGGATTCCCGCTCCTCCCGCTGCCCGGGCTTTGCGGAAGGGTTCTCCGCTCACGCTGTCCATGCAGACAGCGTGGGCCAGCTCCGGCTCTCCCCCTGCAAGAGCCCCCATTGTGTTTCCCACACGGCCTGCATTGCCGCATCGCCTGGTGTGGTGCAGCCCCCGTGTCTGTCTGCCCCTCGCTGCCCCCTCACCCACTTGCTTGCAGGGAACCCGCTCCGGGCTCCGCACCTCACACACCAGGTGCGCGTGGGAGGGCGGTAAGTTACACCTGGGTCTTCTTTCTGCACTCTTTAGCAATCATTTACATAATTGATGGTTTTCATCTACATCATAGATGATTATTTTTTTAAAACAGAAAAGTTCAAAAAAGAAAGCAAAAATGTTCCCCAAATGTACCACAAACCCCCTAGAACAGCTGTGTTTTTCAGCATAGATTTAAGGGCACAAACAGGACCAATGAGTGATTTGCTAAGAATGTCAACCTCTAATTTGTTGTCAAGATACTAATTATTGTTCAAGAGAAAAGGCAGAAAAATAAGAGTAAAAGTCCTCCACTGAAAGCCAGGCAAGGTGGCATGCGCCTATAATCCCAGCACTTGGGAGGCTGAGGCAGGAGGAACGCTACAAGTCCAAGACCAGCCTCGGCTACAAAGTGAGCTCAAGGCCAGCCTGCCCTGCATTGCAAGACCCTGTCTCAGACAAGAAAGTCTTCCACTGGGGAGTGCGGGTGGGTGGACGTTCCGTCTCTCTGTCTGGCCTTGGAGTGCGTGACTTCCTATTTTTAAACCTGAAACCCATTGGCCGGTGAGAGCCTAGAGGAGGAGGCCCCTGGCCACCCTGGCTGCGCTGGCCACCCTGGCTGTGCTGGTCTCCTTGGCAGGCCGCTCGCTCGGGCAGGCTGGCTGCACATGCACGTGATGCCGAGTGCAGCTGCATTTGGCGCTGGCTGTCTATGTTGTGAGTCTGCTGTTTTTGTGACTCTTTTTGCTCATGGACTCACAAGGTGAACAGGGGGGCAGCTTCAGCGTTGAGGCCCTGCTGAGTTCACAGGTGGTGTGGGCAGTCCAGAGGACAAAGGACCTGGGGTCTCCCAAAACACCCACTGAGGCCTGGGCCATTGAAGGGCTGCGAGCCCCGGCGCCCTGGCATGTGCGCCTGAGAGCCCAGGCTGCCTGGCCCCGGCGTCCTGACGACAGCTGCCTGGACCGAGGGCTGGAAAGGCCGCACTCAGAGCAGTGAGTCATTCTCTTCCCACTGCCCGGCGCTCCTCCCTCCTCTGCAGGCGGATGCTTGCAAGCCGGCCACGTTTTCCTGGGGAGTTTCTTCACTGGCTGGTGTCTGAGTTCTGACTTCTGTCTCCAAAGTAAGGAGGCCACTTGAAGAGGGCGCCTATTTAAAACTCTAAGGCCCGGCAGGCTGGAGTTCTTGCAAGCTGCTGCTCTTGGCCACGTCTGGGAGCGGGAAGAAATACCTCACCCATCACAGTCCCGGAAATACCGCTCTGCTGATGAAACAGCACAGTGCCGCTTCCTCCAGAAGGGGGTCACCTCACCCCATGTGCTCCCCCTCTGCTTTCCCTGGGAGGAGGCAGAGAGTATGCAAGAGTGGGTGTCGTGTGCATGGGCATGAGATCCGTGGAGGCAGATCTGTGCCTGGCAGGGGGGAGGCGGGAGAGCGACAGCGTGGTGTGAGAAGCGCACAAGCCACGGGGGGGGGGGGGGGAGAGCCCCACAGTGCCAGAACATGGTGCTGCGATTGGGCGATCAGGTAGGTTGCTGCTCCTGGAGCCCCAGGGTGTGGTGCCGGGCCTCGGGCTGTGCGACACATGTGCTCAGGTACAGGGCACACAGTGACGAGGGCGGTGGGGGGTCAGCCCTGACTCAGACACCCACCTGCATGTCCCGGCCTCCACCCCAGGCATGTGGACCACCTCTTTCTCCCGAGGTTGTGAGCTCTGCCTTCAGTCCTAGGTGGGCAGTCGGGTCCCGGGCCTTCTTAGGGCTGCGGTTCAGCCTTCTGACTGACAGAAGCAGCCTGCCTGAGCTTCTGGGACCATAAGTTGGTGGCTCAACTAGACTTCAGCTGTGCTGCTGAGCCATTGTTTTATTTCAGGGATGGGCCTGTCTGTCCCTTCATTCCTTTCCTATGAGAGGTCATGCTGATCTGACCTTTGTTAGTGACAAAAGCACATGTTTTCTTTAGAAGAAAGTAGAATTTCCTAAAGCACTTGTCATTCATTGGTTCCAGCTAACCTGTTTCTTGCAGCCTTGTAGTATCGGTGGACTTGCTAGAGGGGCATCGTTTCCTCTGGTGTCTCCCAATCGTGGATTCTAAGTCGCAGCTTGGACATCTGTGCGTCCTTGGCCAGGGTGCATAGCTAGTCTGTCACTGGCCCCCAAAACTGTCACTGTCAATTTATTTAGAGTGAATGTCTTTGTTTTTATCATAGGCTGAGCAGGCATCTGTTTTTCCCCTTCTTAAATCAATAAATGCTTTCTACTTTATTCTTTCTCTGAAATGAAGGGAGGATGAAGCAGGAGGATTGAAAATTCAAACTTAGCAATTGAGAACGTGTCTCAAAATAAAAAATGTAAAAAGGCTGGGGATGTAGCTTAGTATGGAAGTCCTAGGATCAGTCCCCAGTGCCACTAAATGAATAAACAAAAAAGCCTTAGTGTGAAGGTGAGGCAGCCCGGCTTCCCTGGATGTGCAGGGGAAGCTGGTGCGGCAGGACTGCGTTCAGGCACAGAGGCCTGCAGGCGCCTGCTGTCCTTTTTCTCCTGGGGATGTGGAAACTAAACTGCTTTTCAGCTTCCGGTGGATGGCGATTCTGGAGCATCTTCTTCTAGTGCTTATTCAGTCTTGTGACCATTTTCTGAGCAGCTGCATGCCAGGCGTAGTACAGATACTGCCCTGTGAGCGATCACCTTTCCCCCCATGACCGTGAGGCTGGCATTTTTATTCTCATTTTATAGATAAGCCAGAGGGAGCACAGGGCCACTTGTGGGCCTGTTCAGCATTTGCAGCTAGCAAATGGCACACCTGGGTTGAGCCCCAGGCTTTTAGGACCTAGAGCAGGACGTCTCCTGCTGCTCCATGACTGCCCCCCTCCCTGCCACATCTCTGCTCCTTCCTGCTCCCAGCTCTGTGACCCAGCGGCTGGCCACAGGTGCACACCTGTAAATGCCCTCTCTTCTCTCCCACCACAGGAAGGATACATAACGAACCCCCGGAGCCTCTGGGAAGACTACCCACATGTGTACCTCTCGTGAGTGTTTGTGTGCCTTCTCCCTGTGGCCAGCTGGTGTGGGGATCAGGCCCTGGCGCGAGGACAGAGACCTGTCAGCAAGACAGAACCTCAGGCAGGACCCACCTGCCCTGCTCCCTCCCCAAGTCTCATGGGCACGGGACAGACACAGAGCAGCCTCTGTTCCTGGGGCCTCTTCGCCGACCCCGCCACTCGCAGCAGCCGTGGCTGCCTAGAGGGAGCACCCCTGCCTCTCTGCTGCTGGAAGGGCCTGGCCTCGCCCCTGAGGGCGCTGCACTGTGCTCTCTGAAGGCCTTCCCATCAAAGGACAGAGCTGGGCTCCGTCTGGCATTGCTGCCGGGGGTTCAGCGTCCCGGAGTGGACAGCCCTGTGCCTGCCCCGTTCTCCGTAGTCAGCTTTCCTCGTCTAGCAGGAGAGCCCCACGCCCCATAGGCTTCTGACCACGCCTGCTTGTTTTCCCGGCCTTCCCCTGTCCCAGGCCTCACAGTGTGGTGGTCTGTTCCCCATGCACTCCCTAGACTCACTAGGGCACTTACCTGGCTCCCACCCTCATGATTTGCTTTCTGTCTCCAGTTTCCAGGTGAAGTTTTTCTACCTGTGCCAGCTGGCCTACTGGCTCCATACCCTTCCTGAGCTCTACTTCCAGAAGGTACGGAAGGTGAGTACTCTGCCCATGCCTCCTGGAGGCCCAGTGCCGTCCCTGCCTGCCTCTTCTGCTATGCATGTGACTTGGGGGAACCCGAGCTTCTGTATACATAGGAGAGGATTCTGCCATTCTTGCAATATATGATTAGTTTTAGTAGTTTCTTTCTGAATTATTTCCCAAAACCCTCTTCCCAGTCCCCGTCTCTTCCTTCTCAATTCCAGCTTTGCCTTTCACACTGGGCCTGAGTATCTCCTCAGCAGCCCAGGTGGGGCCCTCTGCAGTGGCCTGGGACTGTGCCCTCTGGGCGCAGGGAGGCAGGTCTGGCCTCGTCACCTCCTGCACACCCTGCAGCCCCAGCCAGCAGGAGCAGTCACCACCTGCCTCTCTTTTTCCAGGAGGAAGTTCCCCGCCAGCTGCAGTACATTTGCCTGTACCTGGTCCACGTGGCTGGCGCGTACCTCTTAAAGTGAGTGCGGCCTTGAGCAGCCAGCGTCCCTGCCCCCCGGCGCCCTGCATCTGTGCCTCAGTCACTCGGTGGCAGCATGTTCTGGGTGCTGAGTGCTGTGCTAAGGCAGCAGTGCCTTCATCTCCAGCAGCGTGTGGCCCTGGCCCTGGGCAGCCAAGGGACACTGCTGATGGGTGCCGGCCTTGAGCCACAGCCCCGAAGCGCGGCTCCTGCCTCTCGGGGTCCAGGGCCTACCTGAGTCTGCAGCCCAGGGTCTTTGGTTTATAATGAGCTGGAGAGTAGTTTGCTGGAAGTGGAAGGCGTCGCTGCAGTGCGCAGCCTTGATTGTATGGGGAGGGGCCTACTGTCAGCAGGCTGCTCGTGCCTTGGTCCTTATCCCTGCGGGGAGCAGCCCAGCCAGTGCTTTCTCTGGGCTGGGCCGTAAGCACTGTGAGCAGCTGCTGCTGGGGACCTGAGCTCCCTGGACCTGTCTCCATGGGACTTGCTGCAGGGTCCTGTGAAAAGGACTGACTTGACTTGACTGGGTCTTAGAGGGCAGCAGGCTGTCTCCCACCCGGAGGCCTAAAGCCATGTTGGATCCCCAGTGGGCCTTGGAGGGGCACAGGCTGTGTGGCCCACCTTGCTGTGGTTTGGAATGGCATGGCCCATGCGGAGTGGGTCTTTAGAAGCTGGTCTGGAGAGGCCAAGCTGCAGGCCGGGAACAGTTTTTGGGAGAATTACTGAAGGTGCAACAGCTGAACTCCATGCCAAGAGTGAGGAGGCAGGAGTCCAGGGGCAGCAAGAGCCTCAGCAGCGGATGGCCTCCACCCTCCTTTCCCTCTGCAGCCTGAGCCGCCTCGGCCTCGTCCTGCTGCTGCTGCAGTACTCCACGGAGTTCCTCTTCTACACGGCTCGACTCTTCTACTTTGCAGATGAGAACAATGAGAAGCTGTGAGTGAGGCCCTGGGGGTACAGTGGAGGCTCCTGCCAGGCTGAGTGTCACCTGGGCCGCTTTCCTAGAGCGCCCACGCTTACTGTTTCGGGCCCCTGAGGCCTTTTCCCCTGGGGTTGCTTCAAGGATCCGAAGGGCTGACCTCAGCTCTCTGCCTCCACGAGCAGGTTTAATGCCTGGGCTGCCACATTCGGGGTCACGCGCCTCTTCATCCTCACCCTCGCCGTGCTGGCCATCGGCTTTGGGCTGGCGCGCACGGAAAACCAGACATTTGACCCAGAGAAAGGGAACTTCAACAGCTTGCTCTGCAGGTGAGTTGGGCGGAGGCCAAGGTGGTGGATCAGGCCTCCTTGGAGGGAGCCGGGAGCTTCCTGTAGGGGCACAACTTCCACGCAGGTCAGGTGCCGGAGACTGACCTCGATTCTCCCGCACACTGATAGCTGGGATCTCTGGACAGCGGTCTGAGGGAAAGGCAGCCTTTTCTGCCTTCAGACCCTGCTCCCGTCCTGGCTAGAGTCTGCTTGGGTTGCGGTCAGGCTCTTGGTCTCATGCAGATTCCTGTATCGGGGTGTGAGGAGCTTCCGCATCCAGTCTATGAAGGATCAGTACAACCAAACATACCTTCTAAAGTGCCAAAGTGGAGCCCATTAATCTCTAGCTAGTATGCAGATAATAAACTGGGACAAACCCCATGGTGCCCATGGCCTGGCCAGGGGCCTTCCTGCCCATGAGGACGGCAGCCCCGGAGGATGCTGTGCCCTCGCGTGACTGCCAGACAAAGGAAGCCACGTGGCAGAGTTAGTTTGGCCCTGGCCTTGTTCCTCTGGCTTCAAGCCCTCCAGTATCTGTGCACAGACCCTGCGGTCGGTCCCCAGTGCCCGTCCAGCCCCCCGACCCCCACTCGCCCTCACCCCCACCCCCACCGGTGCCCGCAGGCTCCTCGTGCTGCTGCTGCTGTGCACCGCCCAGGCCTGGCTCATGTGGCGCTTCATCCACTCCCAGCTGCGGCACTGGCGGGAGCGCTGGACCGAGCAGAGTGCCAAGCGGAGGCTCCCGGCCACCCCTAGGCTCCCGGCCAGGCTCACCAAAAGGGAAACTGGTGAGTGTGGCTTCCTCCCCGCCCCTGCTTACCTGCCAGGTGCCCTGTGTGGCCCCGGCTGGCCTTTTGGCAGCTCCAGCCGTGTTCCCACCTGCCCGTGCCTGTCTTGGGGGCTGCTGTCCCCAGAAATGACTCAGTGCCAGTGAGCAGTAGGTGGCAGGGGCAGGCCGCGTCCTCTGTCCTGCTCTGGGTGTGACTGCGGCAGGGGTTCTGACAGCCGCACCTCCGAGTGCCAGGGGCTCCAGGTCTGCGGCAACCTGGGCCAGGTAGGGCCGCTGTGCGGGCTGCAGCCACAGAAGCAGGGAGGGGGGCTCCTTGCCCTGCAGCCGCCTCTGAGGGATCCAGCCTTTTCTCCTGCCTGGCCAGGCTCCGGGCCCCAGGAGTCCACCTGCAAGGGGCGCGGGCCCAAGATGCTGGGGCTCCCGCGGCCGCCCTGCGCGGTCCCAGCAGAAGCCCACACTTGCCTTGTCCCCCTGCACTGCCCAGGTTACCATGAAAATGGAGTGGTGAAAGCGGAGAACGGAGCCTCCCCGCGGACTAAGAAGCTCAAGTCTCCTTAAGTCCAGAGCATCCGCAGGAATCCGCCACGGGCCGGAGCTGAGCCTGGAGCTGCCCCTCACTCTGCACAGCGCCCACCCGGTCCTCGGGAACTGTCTGCAGAGGGGCTTGGTCTCTTGCCTCCTGGCTTTCTCTTCTTCCTCGACCTTTCTCAATAAAGCCAAAAATGTCTCTTTCCCCCCCTTCAGGCCACCTCATGGCCTCACCTGTGCCAGGTGGGGTTTTCTGGAAACCCAGACTCTTCACGGTTCTCTTTTGCTTGCCTTTTCTTTCTCTTCATTCACGGCTGCTGCTGTTTCTTTTTACTTCTTCATTTTACCCTCACGTGCAATTTTTCTGTGTCTGGTTTTCACAACGGGAGGAAGCTAAGGCCGGCAGCGGGCAGCCTCCGCCTGTGGCCCGCGCAGAGGGCGAGCGCGCATCTCCCTCCTGGGTCCACCTTCTGGTGCTGACAGACAGATGCAGAGATGCAGATTCCACCTGGCGGGGCTCCTGGCAGCTCCATCACGGACACTGCTGTCCTGTGGTTCTCAGGCCAATGCACGCTGCGTTCAGGAGGACACGGCTTCCCACGGGGAACAAGGCCAGGTACGCTGAGCGGCAGCAAGGACTGCAGTCAGTGGACTTAAGCCTTTCTCCACGGGCTGACAGCCGCACATCTTCCGCCATTCACCAGCATTCAAAACCAAACCAAACAGCTGTTAGCGGACCTGCCCAGATGTCCCTGGAGCCCGTGGGGGCCAGCCTCGCTGCCTGAGTGTCATCTCTAGCTGCATGGACGCCCAGCCACAGGTCGCCACCCACGCCAGCCCAGTGTCTCAGAGGGTCACCCGGCCGCCTCATGTTGGCCTCATTTGTTGGGTGCTGTTGGGAGCTGCTGTCGTTGCTCATGTATGTCATGCAGGGAGGGAGCTAGGCCCCAGTCCGTAGCTTCTCAGTGGGATGAGCAGGTGTGGCCATGAGGGCAGGTGGCTTTCAGCCCCCTCCAGCCAGCATTCTTTCCTCTGTGTCCACCTGAACACAGGGCTATCAAGTCTTCATGGTGCTTGGGGGGGAGGGGGGGTCTAGGCTTTCAGATGTCCTGACTCAGCGTCTGTGACCCTGTGCTGAGGGTGGGGGAGCACAGGGCACCGGCATGTTAGTGTCACCTGGCGCACCGGGGCTTTTGCTGATGCCGTAATAGAGACCACATCTTGGGTTTTGAGCAGAAGTAAAGGTGGACCTTCTCCTGGAGGAGGCTCCCTGCTCCTCACCTGTGTTACAAAGGCAAGTTACTGATAACGGAGGATTTTTCCCAGCCACCATGGCGCCATCTCTCCGCTGATGAGCAGGGGGAACTGGGAAGATTGCCCTTAGCTTCCTTTGATTACCTTAGGAAGCAGAACAGCATCTGTGAAAGGAGGCGTCTCCCACCTTGCTCTCCTTAGCGGTACAGGGCAGCAGGGTGTGAGCTCAATAGAGCTGGCCAGGGCCCCCAGCCTCGTGCTGCCCGCACTGCTGGGAGACCGTGTGGAGGCCAGTGTGGCCGTTCTGCTCTCCTAGGAGCCTGGCTGCCGGGGCTTCTCCCTAGGCTGTGTCTCTTCAGGAAGCCTCTGGGAGGCTGGGCAGAACTGCGAGGAGGGGACTGGGCCACAGGTGGCGTCCTGGGTCCAGCAGCCCCACGGTGTTACACTGTCCTTGCTGTCCCAGCGTACAGGGTACTGGCAGTGCCATGGCTCCCTTCTCTGGAAGTCTCCATGCAGTGGGCACTGCTGGTCATTGTGCCTTAGGTGTGGGGCCACAGTCCCAGGGGCCTGGGGCCTGAGGAGAAGCATTTGCTCAGGGGCAGGAGACGGCACAGTCGTAGCTGTTATCAGCGGGTATGTTGGTTGCTTCATTTTTCTGTGGTCTCTCCTATCTCCAGTCAAAGTGCCAAACCAGTTGTGAAAGCCCTGTCGGGCCCTCCCAGGGTGAGAGGCCAGCAAAGCCCCGGGACCGACCGGGGCAGAAGGTGCTAATCTACCTCAGCAGCCACTTGCCCGGTGGCATACCTCCCTGGCACACCTGTGGGGACACCAGCAGGTGGCAGTGGAGGGAGAGCTTAGCCTTGGCTGGAAGGAGGCCCTGGGGCTGGTGCTTCTCCTGGGAGGTTCAGTGATAGGAAAATGATCTTCACTGCAGTAGCTGCACCGCCAGTGATTCTGCATGCTCCTCTGAAGGGAGGGTGGCAGTGGGGAAGGGAAGCCGCCTCTCCCCGAGTGGCAGTCCTGGCCCCGTGTTCGCGGGCCTGCCGACAGACATGGGTGCTGAGAGGCTCACCTAGTCCTGTCCCAAGGCAGAACACGACAACCCTGGGGGGAACCAACTTGGGGACCCGTGCGCTGGCCTCTTCATCCCTGATGTTCTGGGCCGGGGCCTGGGACCTCTGAGGCTGTGCGTCTAAGGCTTTCTTTTGGCACCACCTTCCTCAGCTCGCCTTGACCTTCTGCGGGGTGGATAAGTAGGAACAGCATGCACAACCTGTAGAAATTCCATCATCGAGACACTGCTTCGCATGCTAGGGGAGCCCTTCAGGCTTCTTTGTTGTGCTCCGGCTTTCCCAGTTGGTTTTGCTAAGGAGGGAGAAGGCAGGGCACCCTCTGGCCCTTCCGTGCCCGGAGCCCTCACCCCACTGCACAGCTGTCAGTGCAGTGATGAAGAGGGGCTGTGGGACCCAGGGTCATCAGCATTTTGTGCTTGGGGCTTCTGTCCTTGTCCCGACCAAACCCCTGTCTTTTCATATGCATGTGCCTTAAACTGCTGTGTGCCTTCGCCTGCACTGTGCGCCCGGCTGCTGGGGTGGAGGGCTGCTGGGTGATGCAGCAGAGGGGGTGCAGAGCGGGTGTGTGGAGCGACAGCGCCCCTTGTCGGTGCCTCTGGCTTCGCAGCATAGAAACAGAGGTGGCCTTGCTCCATCCTTCTCCCGCCTGTGTGACTTCCTGCAGCTCTGAGGAAGGCATTTGCCGGTACTCCCTCATCCTGGGGTTGCTTACGGGTGCCCTGTGTGGCCCACAAGCACAGACCTGACTTCTGAGTCAGCTGGTCTCGGCAGCAGCCCTTGCCTGCCTGTTCCCGTTCCTCCGGGTTGTGCAATAACTGTCCCTGCCAGTGGGCCTTCCACAGGCCCTTCTGTCCCTGATACCCTGCAGTAGGGGAAAGGGACCCACAGGAAGGGTTGTTATTCCTTACAGGTGTGTGTGTCAGCCTCTTTCCCTCTGTTGCTGTCATTTTCATGATTCTGGGAGAGTTTTATGATGCTCTTAAAAGTCCTTACATTTAAAAAAAAAAAAAAAGAAAGACCATTCTCAGGCAGGGACCCAAGTCATTGTCAGGACTGAGATCTGTTTTGATGCTGGTAGCATTGCTGCCGCTCTGCTAAGTGTGTTCCGCAGTTTCTCATTCCTGTGGAGAAGATGGAGATTTCTCGAGCCTCTCCGGTGGGGCCTGTCCCCTGCTAGATCAGCTGTGGGGTCCCACCGCCTGCTGGACAGACTCCAGTGTGCGTGGTGACGTGCTGAACCTCGCTTTTTAGTTCCTCCTCAAACACCTGAAGGGCGAGCTGAGGCTGCTGGCACCCGAGCAACCCCTAATGCAATGTGGACACGGCATCTGTGCGTCTACGCAGCCTCCTCATGTTACGGACCAAATTGCAACAAGGAACTCAAGGAACTTTGTACCTGCGTATTTATGCTTTCATGTAACAGGGTTGGGGGAGGGTCATCTTTTTACTTTTGGTGAACCTTTTTCAAAATCCTGTTTCCACTGTTTCTGTCTGGTTTTAAAGCAAATCACAGTTTTGTATGGATTTTTTAAATGTACATTTTGGAAAAAATCAAATATTTTCTGAAATAACTGAATAAAAGGCATAGTTATCAGTCTTCCCTCTGGTCTGATTCCTTCACATGCCTTTATGTAGTGCTTTGGCTTTTACTTGACAGTGGTTTGCATCCGTTCTAGCCCTGCTTAGTTTGCCGCTCGTCCTTCTGTATTTCTTGAGACGTAGCGGACCGTTGTGGTGCTGCGAATCGGGAAGTGAAATCAAAGACCGAAGAATCAGCTATACCGCGAAAGACAGAAGAGTCAGCTATACCGCGTGCCAGATGGTAATAGGTATCGCTTCCGTTCATTCCATAACAGTAAAGTGGAGAAGGGTTTCCCAAAATGGGCAGGGGGAGGGAAGTCCTCCACTTTTGATACCTGGTGGGGTTCGGTGTACGGGAAAGCCCGGAATTCACGGGTGCCCACCCAAAGGTGCCCGGTAGTGGTACACTGGTGGCCAGAGGGGCGCTGCTGGCCCTCAAGCAGCTGCAGTGGTTTTGCAGTTTCTACCCTGAGAGCGTAGAAGAGCGCAGGGGCAGGCGGGACACTCGGAGCGGCCAGGACGGCCTCCTTCCAGGGACTGGAGCGGCGCTGACAGCAGCCCACCTGGGCGCAGCCTGCACACTGCATGGGCAGCGGGTGGCCCCGGTGCTTGACCTTTCCCAGCGCGTTTGTCCACTGTCTTCAGGTGCGTTTTTGTTTCCTGGGGGTGGGGGTGGGGAATGGTACCAGCGAATACCGAGTTCGTGGTACAGTACATTCATCCTTTGAATGCATGTATTCGTACCTGTGTCATCGAGATACTCGGTAGTCACTCAGCATCTAGAGAAATCTCTGCCTGTTGGTCGCAAGCGCCCTCAAAGCCCAGGCTGGTAGACCTCGGCCGCCACACGATGTCTTTGGGCCCCTGGCACTGCGTGCCCAGGACCCAGGGCAGCCAGCCCAGAGCCTGTCTCCGCCCCCTCAACTTCCCAAGTAGATTCCCTTCTCCATCTTTAGCCCTGAAACCCTTGAAGCCCAAAGATATCCCACTCAGTTTTAGATACATCCTTCAGTTAAATTTGACAGCCAGAGCTACTGGTGCCGCTCCACTGAAAACCCTAGCTGGTAATGCTACTACGACGTGCCTCAAGTCCCCGGCGGCCAGTGTACCGCGTCAATCATTTCTTCTGAGTATTGCTTGGTGAGGCCAGTGTTCAGCAGCGTTCCGTCTCTTGAACCCAGGAATGCAGGAGTGCCAGCTTGCCTGCAGCACAGGTGACTGGTGACATCCGATGGGTAAATGCCCCTCTAGGATTTCAGTAGGAAAGCCACCTGCTGTGACTTTGGGCGGTTCCTGTACTTGCTGCCTTGTAGAATCTAACAGGTGGCCAGTGAGTGTGCCGCAGCATAAACAGCCCGCTGGCCGTGGTCTGCCCGAAGGAGCCTGCACACCTCGCAGGGCTGCCTTAGCTTCTTGGTCACAGTGCGAGCAGTGGAAAATGAGCGTGAGGCCTCGCAGCTGCTGGCTCCCGACAGTGGGGCTCACGTCGCCATGCTGGACCCGGCTGCATTCGCCGTTGCACCCAGTGGAAAACAGCGATGAGCAGTCAGAACTGAAGCGAATGGCTACAGACACTTGGATTCAGAGGGCGGGTACGAGGGTATTCGGCAGACTCCCAAATCTCCTTTCAGCTGAGGCCTGAGTGGAGGGGAACATGGCAAGTCCTCCCGGGTGCTGCCACTGGGCGGACCAGGAAGGAGTCTCTGCAGAGGGCCTGCGCTGCCGTGAAGCTCTCCACAACAGGCGGGGTGATGGGGAGCACTGGGGTGCTGTGCCTTAGATGGACTGTCGGCCTCTATGATGGGGTGGGTGACAGGCTTGCCTAGACCTGTGTCCCCTGGAGTTGGAAAGCACCAGATTTAGGCTGCCTGATTGTCACCAAAGCACAACTCAGGGCAGAGGCTGTGCTGCCTGACTGCACAGCAGAGAACCTTCTTTTATTTTTTCAAAGACAACCTTTATTGATACTTGTAGGCCATGGAGCCAGGCTTTGAGACTGGGGATCTGAACCTGGGGCCCCACAAGCTGAGAAGGGACAAAGTGAAAAGTGAAAAGCTCCCCCACCGCTGTGACTACACTAGAACCAAGACTCCTGGCACCCCAGGGGGGCAGAGGCCCTACGTGGGGCTGGCGTAGAGCCCTCTCCCACACTCCACCCATCGGCTGTGCCAAGGGCTGCTGTCACCAAAGGCAGTGGAGATGCAGCTGCCGTTCTGGGCATCTGAAATATGAAGGAGCTGCCACCACGAGGAGCAAAGATGCTTCGAGACAGACGTGCAGTGGGCGGAGTCGTCACCGAGCTGCATCAGCTGTCCTTGCCTCCTGCTCTTGTGGTCTGAAGCTGTGGCCTTGGCCAGGTTCCCGGCCCCTCATCAGGACACTAAGCAGCGTCTGCGAGCTCTCCAGGATCCTAAGGTAGGCCGCCTCGGTCTCTGCGATGGTGCGCTCAAACTCCTTCCGAGAGGCGATCTAGTGCACCAGGCTGTCGTTGACAGGACAGCTGCTCTGTCAACAGCCTCACCTCGCTCTGCAGCCGCTGCCTCTCATCCTCTGCCGCCGGATCTGCTGGCGCAGCTCCTCCCGCTTCTAACACAGTTCTACGGTGCCCTTGACCAGCTCCTTGTAGCTCTGTAGCGCAGCACCCTGCTGCTGGAGAACCATCCGAATGAGGGTACGGCAGGGTGACTTCCCCGGGGCCCTCACCAGGAAGGGCCCCAGCCAGAGGGGAGGAGGGCGGTGAGGGACAGCAGGGTTGCCCGCAGGTCCCTGGCCATCTGCACCTGGAAAGGTGCCCTGGGGGCTCTGAGGATAAGAAGCCTAAAGAAGTGCCCGAAAGGTGTGCTGGGGACAGAAGCAGCCATTCTGTGGACTGGTGTCCAAGAGAACCCCCTCCCCGGTCATGACACTGCTAGCCACACACGAAGCTTGTCCTCTTTCTGGCTGCACCTTAACCATTCCAGGCTGTTCAAAGGGCAGCATGGCTGACCATGGATAGAGGGAGCAGAAGCCAGAGGGAGGAGTAACCTGTCCCTCTGTCTCCACATGCAGCACTCTTTGCGAGAGGCGTCCAGGCCTGGAACAAGCAGGCCACAGCTAAGCACTGAGGGTGTTCAGCGTGTGTGTGTGGGGGGGGGGTGATCAAACCTAGGGCCTCAGGCGTGGTAGACCAGCTGCCTCGGTTACCTTTCTCTCACTAGGACAAAATACCTGACCCCCAAAATTAAGGAAGGAAAGGTTTATTTAGCTCACTGTCTGTGGAGGTTTCAGTCCTTCAGCTGGCTTGAAGGCAGGGTGGCACATGGCAGAGGGCAGCAGTTCATGGCAGTGGAAAAGAGCAAAAAGGAGCAGCAGCAGCAGAGGCAGGGGGCAAGCCTCTCCCCTCCTTACGCTGCATCCAGGCTGCCCCAGGGCGGGTGTAGCGCTCACACCCATAATCCCAGCACTGGATCATGAATTAGTCACAAACTCTGGAAGCCACCCACCACTGCATGAAGCTTTGGGGAGACAGCTAGACACAAACCATAACACCAGCTGCCTACCACGAAGCTACACCCCCAGTTCAGCACTTAGTATTTTCCAGACTGAAATGAACTTTTTAAACACCTAAAACTTGTAGTTATTGGGGAAAATAAAATGACATACGGGTTCTTCCTGAGCTACTATACCAACCTGGGGCAGAAAAGGGAGCCGTGCGCATGCAGCCCTTCAGTGCAGTAGGCAGAGGCGGCTTAGCGCATCAGGAAAGGGAAAGCCCACAGCAGCTCTCCAGCAGTTGCAAGCACACTCAGCTTGTTCCTTGGTCCACATTTGGGTGCCAGGGAGGAATCTGAAGTGTGTGTGATTGTTTTAAGAGGCTCTCGATATCGGCTAAAACTGACATAAGAAATACATTTCACATCATAATCAATAAATAGGACCTTGACTGAAGCAGCAGTTTCCTAGCAGGACATACTGTGCCATGGGAGCCATGCCGACAGGCCCAGAAGCACAGCTGGACAAACGTGGAGAATACTTTGGGCAGTGTTGGGGCAGGCAGACAGGTAGTGCGGGCCGCTGTCTAGCAGCAGCGGTGATTCTGGGCACTGACTCCCAGCACCACAGACGCTTCTACAACATCTCTGTCACTCCTCCTGCCCTTAATCCCTCTACATCTTTATCATGGTTTCTGAGACAACTACTGCCATTTAGGAGGCGGGGGTGGGGGATGTGCACATGACACGGAGACTGGCCCAAGAGGCTCCTGTGATTATAAAAGCTGATGCTTCGCAAGACCTGCAGGGCGACATGGCCGCCTGGAGGTCCAGAAAAGCAAAGGGCGTATCTCCAGTCGGAGTCTGAAAGCCCGAGAGTGGGACAGCAGCTTGGAAGTAGGAAAAGGCTTCCACGGTTGGAAAGCAGTGGGACCGGAATCCGCTCTCCAGGGGGGCGGGCCTTCTGTTCTGGCCACGCCTTCACGAGACTGCACAAGGCCCGTCCACTTTAGGCCAGGCCAGCGCAGGTGCTGACCCCTCCCTGGACACCTCAGACGCACTCAGAGTAACACTGGGTGAAGTACCCGGTCACCCCGTGACCCAGGCAAGTGGACAAAATGAACCATTACAGTGCCCTCACCACCCCAAAGAGGCACTAATACTAGATCTTCTTTAATTTTAGAGTCAATTTAATTCAGACGTCCGCAGTTATGAAACAAGAACCAAAGAATAAACGCCACTTCAGGAGCTCTGTAGACCCGTCGCCACCAGGTCAGGCTGAGAAAGCGCGCACAAAGTTATGGTAGTCAATCTTGTCTTCTTCGGGACAGCACAGCCTGATCAACTGCAGGAGAAAGCAGAGAGAGGAGGTCAGGGGACTCTCGGATGCTCCCGTGAGCCACAGGGAGACATTGTCCTTGTCTCACACTTAATGAGGCCAAAGCTGGGTGGAGCAAATGCCTGCCTGAGGCTTCAGGGTGACATCCAGCCTCACCAAGTGTTCATCATTTTTGAAGCACATGTAATTGTTTTCATATCCAAATACAAGATTCTGTCCACCAACCACCATGACCCTAAAGTAGCAGGTCCCGGCTAGCACGGCCTCACAGACACATCTGTGCTGTGGCCTAAATGACGTCCTGGAGACTCAGCTGGGAGCCTCAAGACGAGCCCCTGCGGCTCCCCACAAGGCTCTTGTGAATCCACCCTACCCGTCCCCTGCTGTCCCGCTCCACGATGCTTCACGTCTCCCATGTCAGCTCCCTGTCTCAAAGTGACTTGGAAATAAAAACTAGCCATGTTTTCAGTCTCACATTTCGAGAGCTAAATGCTTTGGCCCGCGGGAGTGTACGCCCTCCACAACCCTCCCCAGCTCCTGCAAATGTTCCTGTCTGTAAGAGGAAAACTCATCTCTGAGCCAGGAATTTTAGCTCTCAAGAAACTTGCCTAAGTAGATTTTAACTTCTGAATATTCATTTTTGCATGAAGACCTTTAAGAAGCTGTGCTTCACTCTTCCTAATCAGGGAAAATATCCTAAAAGCAAGCCAGGATCCTTGGCAACTGGGAGGATGGATTTTATTCTACTTTCAGGGACCTCAGTAAAGATACTGATAATAATACAGGCAAGGCAGAAACTCCCTCTCGACCCACTCAGGAAAATCCTCTGAGGAAAACGCCTGCAGCCTCTCCACGCTTGCAGGCAGCCACGCTGCCCCACAGCACCTGGCATCCCTGGGGACAGTGGCCATGTCCACCTCCATGCTGACCCTACAGACAGCCTCCGGCTCTGAAGGGTGTCACCGGCTGCCGCTGTTGCGCTTCGTCACCTTGTCTTTGGGTGTTCCCTTGGCAGCTCCCTAGAGGATCCCCCCTGCTGCCCCCGTCCTGGCACCTTGCTCCAGCGACCGGCCTGTGCTGTGCATCTCTGGTCCCACTTAAAATGCGCCATGCACCAGCAACTCGAGAAAAGCCAGTGCTAGAGTCACGGCAGCAGTTAATCCCGAGCCTTCCCTAGCTAAGTAAGTACACACGTAGCTGCCGCACACACGATCCACACTGACCTCTTTGACCACAGAGTCATCCACTGGCACATTCAGAGAATCACAGATTTTGAAGAATGTCTCTCTGTCCACATAGCCTGAAGCTTCCTTGTCATACACTTGAAACGCTTCTCGAATTTTGTCTTGGCATGGATGCCCTGTTAATCGCTTCTGCATTGTGTGTATCAACGCTTCCAGCTCCTGCACGCCAGGGTCCTCTTTAGCTTGCTTGCTGTAGGAAAAGGAAGGAAATGACTGGGCCATGCCGTTTGTTCCCAACCAATCTCATCTGAGTAACCAAAGTTCTCTCACGAGGAAGTTGAGGAATCCCCTGGGACAAACAGCTCGGCACTGAAAGGAGCGGCCGCCCGAAGGCCCACCTCAGCAGTGCCGTCTGTTAAATCGCTGCAACCCAGCCTCGTCCAACACCAGCACCGCCCCAGGTCTGGCTTCTGTGGGAATCACGGGATCGACCCCGACCGCTAGTGCTGATTAGAACTATCTCAGGCAAAACTAGATGCATTTTCAAAAATGTACGTAGGACTGTGCAACCAGGACTCATTTACTATTCTCTCTCTCATTCTCACTGGTTTCTGTGAAAAGCTGTCTCTAGATGTTGCGAGATGACTCTGAGCGGCGGTGAGTTTAGGCTTAGCTGCAACCCAGATGCAACCCATTTCCTAAGATGAAGAGAGATTAGTAACACAGAACACCATGGAAGGTGTGTGTGGGGGGTCCTATCCCTTAAAAGCCACCACCAAGAGGAGAAGCTCAATTTCGATTCCCTCTGAAAGTGAAGCTATAGTTATAAAATTAAAATTTTTATTTTAAAAATTTATATTTTAACTTCAGGTGGGTTTGTTTTGAGACAGGGCCTCACTATGTAATTGAAGCTGGCCTGGAACACACCACATAACCTAGCCTGGCCTCAAACTCACTGTGATCCTCCTGCCTCAGCCTCCTGAGTGCTGGGACTACAGGTATGCACCACCATGCCTGGCTATAAAATCAATGATTTTTAGAGCTGGAGAAGACTACCTATTTGTAAATTCTTACAAAACAAAATGGACACAAGTAACTCCAGTAAGCGCGCTCCCTTCTCCACCCAGGAGGAAGCATACCTGAGGCCAGGTGGAAGCCCAAGTGGCAGGCGGGGCTCCCTGTAGGGCCAACCTATGCCCAGCTCCTCCTTCATGGCCCTACCATTACTGTTCTGTTCTTGTCTTTCCACACATATATATATATATTTTTCCACACATATATTTTCAAGGCTCATAACTGCCAGTAGCTTTTTAACTTAGCTGCTTTTTAAGTACTTGTGATGGCTGCTAAGTGAAGCAAATAGCGGCAGAACTTTCCAGAAGGCACTTGAAAACAAGGAGCAAAAGCCCCTCAAGCAATTCTAAGGAAATAACCATGGAGTGTTGTACAAAGTTGAAACTATTAGGCTAGTTTAAGAAAACCTAAATGTCCCCAAACAGGGAATGAGGGCCTTGATACTATAATCAAGCAATGGAACAATGACGTAATCCCTGGCGACACTGCAGGAGGAGGAGACCGCTCTGAGTAAGAAAGCCACAGCACAGGAGCCACCGGTCCAGCACTTTGGGGAAATGACAGGAGCGAGGGCAACAGCTCTCTCTCGCTGGAGAAACCAGACACACGTTCCCTTCACACTGCGGAGAGAAGAGCTGGGGTAGCAGCTGTCCGCAAGCAAGCTGGGATAAGGACGCAGGCCGAGGGCAACAGGTGGCAGCGCTCGCGGCTGAGCCAGCTAAAGCGCCAGCCGCCTTGCCAATCAGGACCCATCTGTAAGCGCATTCCCAGCACCAGGCAAGGCAGCCTGCTGGTGGTGCGCAGCAGGGCTGCCCGCTGGGAAGGGGCGGTTCCCGCACGCTGGGCAAGTGCGGCGCCAGCTCTGGCTTCTTGCCACCGAGCGCGAGTCTGACTCGCAGGCCACCGCGTCTTGCCTTTGCAGTCTATTACAACACTGTTTCAAGCACCTCTGACGAAGTCCTCCATTTGGCAAGAACTGCTTTTTTAAGAACAGCCTGCCAACAGTAGTTTGTTGGGTTTTGTTTTGTTTATTTTGTCTTTTAAAAACACAGTCTCATTATACAGTTCAGGGTAACCTTGAGCTCACTTTGTAGCCCAGCCCGGCCTTGAAATCAAGGTGCCCCTCCCACCTCGGCCTCCACAGTGCTGGGATCACCGGTGCATGCCACCATGCCTGGCCACAGCACTATTTCTCTTTGGTGGCAGGCAACTCTAATAAAACAGTGTCCAAGTTTAAAGATGGTCATTTCTATTGCAGAGACTTGGAGTGGACAACCCAGCCTGGCCTCTGCTGCCACCTGCTCCAGAGACGTCAACTGCCTTCTCAAGACAGGCAGTCATCTGCCTGAGAGCTTCGGGGATGGCCACGACTTGTCGCTAAATAAAAGCAGCCTCAGTTAACCGGCGGCTTCTTCTGGTAAAGCAGAGAAATTTGTAGTGAAGAGGCTGGGATCTGCAGTCTGACCTCCTGGCTCTAAGTCTCAACTTTGCTGCTTAAGGATGTATGATCCAGAGTCCACTGTTTACAGCTCAGTGTCCTCATCAGTAATGTGGGGTTTTGGAACAGGGTGCCAGGACTTGAACTCAGGACCTCATGCTTGCCAACCTGGCATTGCACCACTGGGCTAAATCCCTGGCCACGTGATGGGGGGTTTTAAAGGAAACCACCTCATAAAGGTTGTTGTAAGAATTATATAAATTTTATGGAGAAATCACTTAGGGCCTGATAGCAGAAACACAGCAAATATGTTTAACAAAGATTTTTGACATTCCTGATAGAAATGTTCATTCACCCACTCAAAAATTTATTGGACATGTTAGGTTCGTGATAGCTTTGACACAGGAGAGGACAGTGTTGAGAATGACAGCATTTTGTTTTTAGTAAGGATACTTCCTGTCTAGTAGGAGAGTTAAGGTAGATTTTAAAGTCACCAAAGGAAGAACTACATCAATTTTGTTTACAGGGGCCAGGGAGATGGCTCAGTGGAATAAGTGTTTCCCTGACAAGTGGAAAGGCCTGAGTTCAATCCCCGGTTCCGCAAAAAAAAAAAAAAAAAAAATGTGTTTACAATAGAAAAAGAGCATAGGAAGATGGGCAAGTGCTGAATGATGGTGGCGCCTGACCTCGACCTCAGAGGATGTAGGGGTTTGATGTTCAGCATCTAACAAAGAAACTGTAGATGACAGCAACAGCCTAAGGAGACTCGAAGCTGGTCTGCCAAGCCCCTGTGAGGAGTGCAGAGTATATGGGCATGGGAACTGGAGCGCCAGCTTGGATGGCCGCTTGCAACCAGGTGACAGAGGGTCTTGGGTAGCAGACCAGGCGCTCAGGATTTTCAGTGATGGCGACTTCTTCAAAGGATTCAGAGCCACGTTCCAAGGTGCCTGGTCCAGTAAAAGTATGGTACAAGTTAAGGGCGAGGCAAGCAGCAGATGCTGTGTGGGGTGGGCTGGCAGCAGCGGCAGCCCCAGGAGGTGGCAGCGGTGGCCACCTCCCCAGTCATCGCCCCTGCCTCCTCCTGTGGAGCCCTTATTTTACCTGGAGTGCAACTCGGAGTGGCTGCAGGTTATGGTCTGGATGGAGGGCATTGCCTGAAGTCCCACACATCTGGATAGCCACTGGATCACAGGGACACCTTGATACTTATCTGTGAGCTCAGACCTGGCTGCACTCTGTGGAGGTGGGCCTGGTTCTGTGTGTGTGTGTGTGTGTGTGTGTGTGTGTGTGTGTGTGTGTGTGTGTGACTGCAGGGTGCACCTCACTCCCGGCTCGTCCCTTCCCCATCTTGGCCAGCATGGTGCACCCACCTACCCCAAGCGACTGCAGCCCGCTGCTTGCCCCCCCATGTCTGCCCCACGGCTCCCTGGCAGCGTTCACTTGATACATGTGTCATCTGCACACTGTGTGACTGCCCAGCCCTGCTCCTCCACACAGCAACTTCTTGTCTATGTTGCTTATGCTCTGGCCCAATGGCCTGCTGGCAGCCTCGGGAACTTGGGCATCTGATCATCCATTGAACAAATGAAGCTGAATGTCCTGAGTTACTGCCCACAATACTGGACTGGGGGAGACCACCTGCGTCCATTTAATCACTCCCATGCTGTGAAAGCGATCTGAAAAGCTATCGTGATTACCCACAGTAAGAACTATCGTGATTACCAAGAACTACAAGAAGATGAGCTGAAAAGCACCCTGTGTCAGACGTACTTTCCTAAGTCTGGGGCAACGGCACCTCCTTTCCGGATGTGGCTCTGGACGGATGCAAGTGCTTCAGGGGAATACTGGTCAGCGTGGCTCTCCATGTACTTTAAAACGTACTCATCAGCATCAATGATGACGAAGCGGTGGCCAAACACTGGGAAAGAAGAGTGGCAGGCTGGTTGGGCTGCGCCTCTCGGGTAATCAGGGGTGAAGGCTACGTGCCCTCAGGGACAAATTCACAGAGATGCAGCGGTGGCCCAGGCTACAGAACTTTCAGTCGCTGCATAAATTTATGCACAGCAAACTTCTTGGGGTTTAGGAAGTTCAGCATCAACATCTAAAAAATGCAACTAATATAGAGTTAATTTGAAAAAGACAAGAGATTAAGACATGTCATATATATAAAAACCTTAGCTTTATCTCAGTATACCCTAATGCCTCTTACGAGGCTTAAGTGAATTAAAGTGCAGCGGAGAATCTACTGCCCCAGTCAGCAGGAAATCCTGCTCTGTGCTGAGACCCACCCTCAATCACAGCGCCGATGAAGAAGTCGCCAGGGCCATAGTAGACGGGGCTGTCCACCGGAGAAAGGGGCTTCGCAACTCGAGACCTGCCGAGGTACTTGCCCCCGATGATGCCAGAGTTTCGAACAGGAGGCTCAAAGATACTGATCATATCGGTGGCTAGAAAGTAAGAGAAGATAAATCGGCGATCTTTGTCTTCTGGGATGGGAGATTCCTAGAAAAGGGGAGAAAGCAGGACATTACGAGAGCTCGTCATCTACCCAGATGCCTCAAGACTCAGTGCTTACAGGTTCCAGGGTAACGAACAGCACAACGCAGGATCGAGGACTCCAAACACACCGCGTGGAGGGATGGAAGCCCGGAGGCGGCTCCATCTGCAGAGAGCCGAGGGTGCCCGCCCAACTCATCCGCGGCTCATCGCCGCTCTAGGGGAAGGAAGCCCTGGTACTGGCGGAGCCACCCATTTCCTCAGGAGAAGACAGAGATCTGAACTACAATTTAAAAGCTTTGATTTTTAAAAATAATTGACTCCAACTCTTGAAGCAATTAACAAAAGATGCCTGCAGGCTGCATTCTGCCAGTCTGAGACCTTGTGCTAATGCTGCCCTCAACTTCCTGAATACTAAGAGGACTATGTGAGGTTCACTACTTCTTAAGCAGAGAGAGACACATACAGAGAGATAGACACAGAGACACACGCACAGGGGGAGAGAGACAGACAGAGACACAGAGACACAGAGACAGAGGCAGAGACCGGGGAGAGAGAGACAGAGAGAACAAGAGAGGAGAGAGAGCGAGAGCGAGAACAAGAGCGAGAGCGAGACAGCGAGCGCCTGAAGGCCATCTAGGGAGACTACGTAGAGACAAGGCTCCCACCGCAGTGCTTCTCTTTGAGTGACTGCACAACCTTGACAGGCAGAACAACCTGCAGCTCAGCCACGTGCAGGCCCGCTCCTTCCCGATTAAGGCCTCCTCCATTCAGCCTGTGCAATAGCTAATGATTTCTCACGTATTGAAGAACACTTTTAGGTTTCCTTTTAGTAAAATACTTTTTTATGCCATTACTTCATCTATTTTTGATTGACTACCCATGCAATAAAAAGTAAATCTGGGGGCCGGGGAGATGGTTCAGTGGAATAAGTGCTTCCCTGCCAAGTGCAAGGGCCCTACTTCTAATCCCCAATTCCGCCAAAAAAGAAACAAAAGC